CCATGCTTGACTTCAAATATCTGATGAGGACCTCCTGTCTTCCACAGGACCCCATTAGGAGCTTTAACAGTTCTCTAAATGCCCTGCTGAATTCAGGCCAAGCAAATGCAAGTGTCATAATCAGATCTGAAAAAATATTTCAGGGATGACCTTATGTCGCTTTACAGCCTGCCACTTTGCAGGAAAATAGGCAGCACAAGGAGCAAAACTATCACTTCAAATACATACCGGAACAAATCTTGCCATCTCCAGACATGACCACAATAGGCAAAGCAGCACTTTCATGTCCATGATCCAGCATGGGCCCTGCATTTCCTTTCTTCTAAACATAACCACTGCTTTCCACTGGAATTCCTGCAACAAAAGACAATAGTTCACATCAGTTTGGGATCAAAACAGGCACCAGGTGTGACATGCTGCCACCTCCTGTTCAATAACGAATTGATCTAGATATACGGCCAAGTTGCGGTAAGGTCCAGCTGCACTGAATCTATCCAAAAGCTCCCACTGTCAAAGTGGGGTAGCCCTCTTTTCCCCAAGCTCCTCTTGTCAATATGACTTACTCAAGTTGTAGAAAAGTCATCCAGGAAAGAAAATTGCAATTTTTTCTTTCAAAATTTGAAAATTTTTGAATGCCATTTGAATCGAGGGTCAATGAGAAGTGGGGGCAGTACAACTGAAAGCGAGGGGAGGGAGGAACAGAGGAGAGGTTTACCCTATCCTGCAGCAGGAAAACTCTCAGTTGCCTCAACCTTACTGTCTAATCTTACTTTAAGAAATGGAAGAAGGCAAGTGATAGACAAATAGTCAACTTTTTACAGTGTGTGTACTAAAACAAAGGATAAATCTCACTGATGACTGCCATCTGCAAATTCTTCAGAAACTCCATAAGGAAAATGTCAATGGAACATACCACAACAAGCACTTTCAAAAGCCTTTCTTGGAGGTTTTTATTCAGTAAACTTCAGCCCCCTCAAAACTCAGTGCGCACAAACAGAATAGTATCCAGGAAGGAAGACGAGGAGGAAGCCTCAGGGGAAGAAAAACAGCACTGAACAGGGTGCAAACAAAATCAAGCACAATGGGGAAAAGCAGCCAAATGCAGATGTTTTGGGAGATGGGCAAAAACTTCTTGTCTTCCAAGTAATTCTTTAGTTTCCTTTAAAGTATTTTTGCACTTTCTGTCACTAACTAAAATAAAAATACATATTTTGTATAACACTTTTGGGGTGTTTCCCGTTTACACATTAATAATACACCGATCCAATTAATGTAGTGGCCTGAAGTCCTTGCCCCTGACCTACAGTCGGGCCAGAATACAGTAATTACGCTGTAAACAGGAAGCGCACACTGCTGCCCGGGCACCCAGGCTGCTGCAGGTGCAGACACAGGAGCTTCTCCACTAGCACCTCCTGCAGCCTATTTAAGACACAAATCAGAAATAAAGCTGCATACAAATACCTTATGCCTAACTAAAATTCCTTTTTTCTCACTGGTAACATCTTCAATAGACTGACAGAGCCCAAGTACCAGCTTTAGAAAAGTACCAGCTTTTATGCATTACCAGAGTCAGACAAGATATGGGAGATTTTTGGTAAATCTGTATCTTGCTATTGCAAGGCTGCAGGGCACATAACAAGGTCTAGTGTGCATGCAATCACAAAGGAAGTAGGCTTTAAAAAAGCACTACACATGGTAACACAACACATATTTATCAGAATGAGAAGCCATCCCCTGGATATGACCGGATATTAATAGCCTGGACAAGAGGCAATGGAAACACTTTAGTCACTTCTGCTCAGCCTGTTAAGTTACATTAGCTCAGCAAATACATTGGTGTTCCACAGAAATCTTGTCTTTGAGCTAAGACACAATTATACTCAGCCTGGCCATTCCTCAGCAGTGCTCATCTCCAATCTAGGGCCTTCAGGGAGAGCCCATTAGCAGCTGCTTGCATAAAAACACCAAAAAAGGAGCTAGGATTGAGATGCTACGAAGACACTGCAAGCAAAGGTCTCCCATACCACACAAAGCTTAAGCAAGAGCCCATCAGTAACAGAATCACAGAACTGCTGATCTTAGAAGGGGCCTTTAGGGATGTTCCTAGTCCAACTGCCCTGTTTGAAGCATCATCTGGTTTATGAAGAGTCAGCTACAGCTGCTCTGCCTTTGGAAAAAAACTCTTTGGCAACTAACCTCAGTTGCAGGCTTCTCTTTTGCTTCTCAAAGTGTTGGATTCACACCGCCATTATTTGAACTGCCACTTCATGCCATATTTGATTTTGCTGAAACCCACCAGAACAGCTGTGCTACACTTCAAAAATGTAGCTTGTTTTTTTCTTTTTATCCAAAACTGCCTTGTTGCATTTGCATACAGATTCAAAAAGGAATATGCTATCTGACTTAAGCTGCACTTCCTTCTGACTAGATGCCCTTCTGGGAAACTCATGTCAACAGTACCATCTAGTGGCTTATACGCAGATACAATTTGTTTCAGACTTTTACTGCAGCTCCGTAACGGAAATGTCAGCAAATCTATGAGTGCTTCTTGTTTCACAAAATGCAGTTCCAGAGAACACTGGGACCCACACGACGGGCCCGTGTTGTCAGGGTCCCAAATGTGTAATATTACCCTTGATTCACATCTAGCAACCACTATAAAAGCAAAGAACGTGTGCATTGCTATCTCTGTCAGTAAGCACTTCACCATGACTGAGACTTCAATTCATCCCGTTCTAAGACCTTTTTGCAGAAGTATTTTGTTTCTCCAGATGTTTTTATCTTATTTTCGAGCTCTAATTGTTCTCTGCCAACATTTTCACCAACGTGTCCACTCTACAGAGCAGTCAAGCAGTCTGAGTGACAGGTTACTAGATTCACTTTGTTTGGAAGGGAGCAAGTTGAGGGACTGACTCAGCATCCACCAGACTACCATACACCTGCAGCTCTTAAACACTAATTTATCATTTAGTCAACAGCATCAGGTCCCCTGCTATGCATCTTCTCTAGATCAAAAACAGTAGGTGGAACACCTGTAACATTCTACTTAACAGAATTTTAAACATCACAGTGCGCAAAGGAAGCTCCTATTGGATCATTTTAAATTGCACACAGGCCCAACAACCTACTGCAGGACACTCAGGCTGCAGACCTCTTCACAAACTCCCCCAGAGTTTACTAAGATGGCACAGCAGCAACTTGCTTAGAGCGAGAAAAAACAACTCTGCTTGAGGGGAGGAAAAAAATCACCCAGAAACAAAATCACTACAGACACAGTGGGAAACAGCCACGGAGGCAGTATCGAGAAACCTGCAGAACAGCCACTGCAAGCACAGGAGGAACCCTGCCCTGCTCCCTTCCAGACAGACGAGACCGCTCGGCGGGCCGCCCGCCGCCCTCACAGCTACCCCCTCAACAAAATGGCGGACACCTCAAGCGCCGCTGCCAGCTTTTCCCGCCTCAGGGGGCGCGCATGCGCGCAAGCCTCCGCTCCTCCCCGCCCCTCGTGCGCACGCGCCGTCGGGCGAGCGTTCCGCGCGCTCCGCCCCCGCAGGCCCCGTGGGCCTTCGCGCTGTGACGCGCGGAGCGTAAACAAAGCGGTGCCTTGTGGGAAGGGGGAACCCGTTCCGCGCAGGAAGAGCCGGCCTCCATCTTAGGCGCTCGGCGCGTCGTGGCGGCGGCATGGCGGGCGACAGCCCGGGGGGGGAAAGACACCCGGCGGCCGGGCGGAGGGCAGCCGGCTCCCGTTGCGGGAGGCAGCCCCTCGCCCAGGCCCCCTGCCCCGTCCCTGCGGCCTGCGGGGCCTTCGCCCTGAGAGGGGGGACTTTCCGTGAGGAGAGCGCAGCGGGGGTGGGAGGCGCCCGCCGCGGGCTGCATGTTGCTGGGGTCCCGGGGCGCCCCGTGGGGTGCTGCCTGTGGGGAAATCCGCCCCGTTCCGTCCGCCTAGGGACAGGCCGAAGCGTGGGGGCGGCAGCGTGCTGAGGGCAAGGTGACTCCAGCGGCGGGGACTGCGGATTAGCGCCCGGATAGGGAGATTTTCCAGCTTTGGTGGTCGTTTCCTACCGGATATCTCTTAACAGAAAGCATCGGCTTCTCTTCATTATCTTTTTGGGTGGCTGGCCATCCGATTTTCCTTTTAATATAGGATTTCCTCTGAAGGAATGTGGCCTATAATTTTGCAATCGGAAGCTTGCAATGCAGCGTTTTGTGGTATTTTTCTGCTCCTTTTTACTGTTTTGTCCAGACCAAGTCATGCTCATTGGGCACTGTGGGTAAATATGCTTGAAATAAGAGGATTAAACATTTCTAGGGTAACACATATTCAGATCGCTCCTAATCATCGCAGTGCGTAGAAGCCGACATGATGCGTGGGTTTTTTGAGAGAAAATTGCTTCCATATATTGGTCTTCTCTAAATCAAAATTTTAATCTCTTAAAATGTAGTTTTATGGAAGATCTTATTTGGGCCATTAGTTATAACTAGTTAATAATAGCAATGTAATACAGAATGAGGGTAACATTGATCACTCTGATGGTGTGCTTAAACTGAAAAAGATTTTCATAGGGTTCATTTCATGGAGCACATTTTGTAGGATTGATACCATGAAATGTCTTGTGTTCAGAGTGCTGAAAAATTGCTACATCTAATATTCATTGTGAAATTAAGATAACGTCTATTAAATTATGCTACAAAGTCCCAGTTTATTGTGTTACCTTTAATAAATAAAATTTCTGATTCTTAACCCACATTTCTTATGATAATAATGCTGTGTTATGTCTAAGTTATATTCACGTAGGCTTGGGCTTTCATTGGAGAAGAGCAGTGAAATCGAAATATTATTTTCTGTAAATTGGCTTTCATATTACGATTTATTCAGGCTACTTTGTTTTGTTTTCTTTTATTTTTCTTTTATTTTTATCGGTGATAATGACCAAGACAAGGGTAGCAACTGAGAAACTCTTTAATGTTTTAATTTGCTTTTCATTTTCTACCCCATAGGGGGTCTGATGATTACTCATTAACAGCTGTTAATGCACTTTCATATGTACCTGAATTTGTCTACTGTAAATGTGATGTTGTTTCTTTGCTCTTTCCAGAAGAGGAATGCTATTTCACTACTTTGGAAAACTGGAAATAAATCTTGCTTGTTATTTCTGCTTTAAATTTCCTGATCTTATACCCTCTCTTTTGCCAACTCAGATGCATGTTTGGACCCTTCCTTGAGCAGATTTAACTCTCATGGCCAGCAGAGAAAAAAACCTTCCCTGGGTTACTTTTTTGCTGTTTCAGGTGAGTTAAAATTGTTCATGGAAGAGTCCAACACACCCTGCAGTCAACACAAGATGTGTTGCAGAAGGGCACAGTTGGGAATGTCTGTAGTGAAGTGGAAGAGATGCTTATCTGGACCTTTCCCCTGTAGTAGTCATGAACTGTGAGAAATCCATCTACCCCTTGCTTCTTTTTAGTGCTTTTCTCGATGCTTATGCCCTCTCTGAGCCAATTTATCTTGTTAATCAGGTTGAGCACCAACAGCAGCAGTTCAGTTGGTGCAATTCCTCACAGAAGTTAGTTGAGAAGTGGACTGTGTGGTCAGACTTTTTTTTTTTTAATGTCAGAAGGCTGTCTGGCAATTTCTTACGGATCATATGTGTACATTTTTGCAGGGCGGATGGGGGGATCCTTTCTGCCTTTGAATCCCTTGAATACTTGTTTAAAGTTCCAGTTATAAATCAGACCCAACTATTCATAAAGAGATTCTTCAGAGAGCCTGTGTCAAACTAGGTTCCTCTGCTACATTTCCATTACTTCTCATTTATTTCTGGATTAGCTCAATCTTCTAACACCTCTGAATGCCACTGCAGTAGCTGAAGTAAATGTAGCTTGCTCAAGTAAGCTGTTGCCTCACCAGGAATGGAACATGCCTGAGGTTCAATGTTTGTGGTCTGATCTGGGTAATACATTGAATAATCTGATTCTAGTACACCTGTTTTTCATGGTCTCTGCTAACAAAGTATTTTATGTGAATTTGCCTGGTCTTCTATGGGGAAGCTCAATTCAAGCCATGGGGTTGCAGCAGATACTTGACACTTGCACACCAGAAATCCGTTTGTCACATCTCTCACCAATAACAATACAGATATTTGCTGGGGATATTAGCAAATGTAAATATCTGCTCCCGAGGGAATGATGATGCAGCTTCATGTCATATAAATATGTCCTATGATGGCAGGCTGCCAGCGAAAGGCTCAGTCCACCTCTCTGCATCGCTTCCTTTGCGTTAGGTGCAGCAACTGTGCGGTTGCTACAGAGGATGTGGAGAAATGCCAGCAGGGAAGCCAGCCCGCTCTTGGACTCTTATTCAAGCCTGTATTGCAAAAACAAAATCATATTATAAACTCTTTTTTTCCTAAAATGAGTGGATTCTGTCTTTTTTTAATAGCACAGTATAAAATTTCTGTTCAGGATTTTGAGATAGATTGGCAAACCTTTTTTTTTTTTTTTTTTTTTCCTTCCAAGCTTACCGCCTGACCCCTGATTTCATTCAGCACATAAGTCCTTACATGCTGCTTCAAAATGTTGCACAGTGCATCTTTTACGGATGTCATCTATCCTTAGGGTTCCCTCTGCTTGAAAGGAGTAAATGCAGAAATTAAAATAGCTGATAGTAAAACACATTTAAGAATTCCAGAGTTTAGGAGAATACTAGGCGTGTTATGCCCACTCTCATTCTGAAAGTGCCTGGAATATGTATAGAGTCTTTTGTCTGGTGAAATCCTCATCTACCAAAATTGCTACATATTCCCATGGGTTTCAATTGAAGCAAAGCACAATTGGAAACAGGGACAAGTTTAAAAATTATTTATCTTCTCTGAGCATTAATGTCTTTAAACTTTTAATGCTTATTGGTCAGGCATAAGTTTCTTCAGAGCAGTTTGGAATTAAGTATGCAGTAAATAGGTGCCACTTTCCACCTCTTAAGTGGAGCGCCATGGCTTATGATTTTGCTGTTACCTTGCTTTGCCCTATTGGGTTTTCTCTCCTTGTAGGTGAACCACAAAATCCCCTCTTTTAATACCACAAAAATAGTGAGGGGAGGAGGGGAAAGAATTTGAAGCACAAGTTTTTTTTATCAGGATTTTGAAGACAGAGGTCCCTCTTCTCTATTTATAGCATTCAAGCTATCTCCCATTTTTCTTTTTCTCTGATTTTTAGAGGCTTTTTTTAAGCCATTCATTTGTAGGTCAACTTTTCTAAAAAAAAAAAAAAAAAAAAAAAAAGGGACATGCAGAGCTCGAACATTTTGTAGAGGCCTAAGGGTATCCTGTAACATTTTACCAGTTCTATTGGCTTTCATCCTTCTGACGGTGGAAGCAGGAAGATACTAATTTTTGTAATATGACAGATTGATAAAGGAAATTTTGCAGTTTGTAAATACTAATTTTACTGTTGTTTGCATTTTCAGACTATAGTGTTTTTGTTTTTTAACTTAAGTATTCTGTTTTCAGATGGTGAACTGAACGTGCTGGATGACATTTTGACTGATGCTCCTGACCAAGATGATGAGTTGTATAACCCTGATAGTGAGCAAGATAAAAGTGAGAAAAAGGGTAGGTGACTTTGGTAGTGAAGGTCCTACAGGAAAGCAGGTAGTAAAAATGTCTCTATTAACAAGATTAAAGTCCTAGAAGTAACAGCTCTTAGAGCCTGAATCACAAAGGAAAAGAGTTGAGAAAATGTTTTTCCTGAGCATCACCTTTTTCACGTGACTTTCTGCACAAAAAATTAATTTGCTTTACTTTTGTCCCAGAAAGAGTTGCTGAGTTTGGTTTTTGTGAATATACTTGCGGTTAAAAAAAAAATCGGTGTACTTCTTGATTCAGTGAAGTAAAACAGGGAGCAAGAGGGTTTCAAAGTTTGGTTCTAGCTCAGTTAGTAATTTTGCTTTAGGCTAATCTCTTAAGCTTTGGAATTAATATTTGCATATATTAAATCTGGAAAGTATTAAAGACTATCAGAGCCTAAAAAATTGGTTGCTATTTTAAAATCACATTCACTTCAGAATGTCAGCTGTTCATAAGGAGCAATTTTGGGTGTCAGCGCAAAAAAAGCACACTAAAGTGAAGCTTAGAACTGGAAGATGCTGCATTTGACTCTGGGGGAACTATCCAAATGTAGAGAAAGTTGGCATTTCTGCAGATTCCAGTTTGATATACAAAATAACATTGAACTTGGTATTTTTTTTATCTCTTTTTTTAAGGATCAAAAAGAAAAAGTGACAGAATGGAAAATGCTGAAAGCAAAAGACAAAAACCTTCTATACATTCTTCAAGGCAAATAGTGCCAAAGCCACCTAGTTCATCAGTTAGCAGTAACAAGAGAATAGTGAGTACGAAAGGAAAACCTGTGTCAGAGTACAAGAATGATGAATATCAGAGATTGGATAGAAACAAGCGTCCAGATGGCGAGCGAAAGATGCGCATGTCAAGCAGTGCCAGGGATCCCTATAAAGGACAACCAGAAAAAACGTGCATGAGGAAGAGGGATCTTGAGAGAAGGGCAAAGTCTTCCACACCAGATGGTTCAGAGGTAGTAAATGTTCTTGCTGCCTTATAAATGAAACAGTTCTATGAGACTTTTATAAGGCACGTTTTCTTAGGACTGTGTGTGCATCCTGACAGTGTTATATGACTGCTGATTCACTTTTTCTTTAAACATCAGAGAATCAGGCATGATATGGATAGACGACCAAGCAGATCCAGCCATTCTTCCAAAGAAGAGCTGAATTCTGAAGAATATTGCTCAGATCATGAGACTGGCAGTAGCGGCTCCTCTGAACAAGGCAATACAGAGAATGAGGAGGAAGGAATGGAGGAAGAGGAAGATGATGAAGGGGAGGAGGATGAAGAGGTGGAAGAAGATGGGGAGGAGGACGAAGAAGAATATGAACAGGATGAGCGAGATCAGAAGGAAGGAAATGACTATGACACACGAAGTGAAGCCAGTGATTCTGATTCTGAATCCGCTTCTTTCACAGATGGGTCAGTCAGATCTGGTTCCGGTTCCGAGGCATCAGGTAAGTAATAACTTTGAGTGTGCTAATTTGAAATACCTTGTCACTAAAAGTGACGTTGCTTTTACAAATTCAAGGCCAATGTCAAAGCTGATGCTTTGGAGCACAAGTAAGATCTAAAATGTAGCAATCGCCAGAGGAAAAACTTTGCTGGGAAATGATATCCTTTTTACACCAAGATGTGTGGACTTCAGTACTTCCGTGCTAAAGATTTATAGTGCTTGATTGCTTCAACTTTGCTCTTTAATGCTTTAAAATGTTAGTATTAATATTTCCTCATAATATTTCATGGCCAAGTTTCCTATGCAGAGTGGGGCAATAGAAAGCACTAGCTCCCCGAAGAAGGGATTAGGTTAAATAACTGAGCCTTAAATCCTGGCTGCCTTTCATCATCAGAACTCAAGATCTAGTTTGAAATGATTGCCTTTGAAGACAAGCTTAAAAGAAGAAAAATGCATTAAACAGAAACAAGAAACATTTATTACAATTGGTCCTGATTTACAGAAATGAAATGTTAACATAGTTAAACTGCATTGTCCATAAAATTTCAGATTCGTGTCAAACCTCCACAACATTTTTAGTTAGGACTCCAGTCTTTTGATTAAGCTGTGCTATCTGCAAATAGAGAATGGGAAGGTGTCATTTAAGACAGCCAAAGATGTAATACATTACACTGCAGAGCTTTTTAGATTAATTAACTCTTTTGAGAGTGGAAATAGTGCCCTGTGTGCCACAGTGCTTTTTTTCCTGCCTCTTGCCACTTCATTGAACTTTGGGGAAACAAGAGGCACTGGCACTATCTCAACACCGGTGATGGTGTTCTGCAAATTTGGCTAAGGGCTGGAGAGAAGAATGAAAATGCCTATACTCAAAGCACCTTGTAAATGAATTCTGTCCCTAAACTCTGCATGGAGTTTAGATGTGTGATATTTAGTAATTAGATAATAAAAGTAGATTAGATAATAAAGTAGATAATTAGTATTTTCTTCTTTTGTGTATTGTGTTTTGGGAGGGGCATTATGGAGAGCAACCAGGATTTTCGTGTGCAAGCCAAATGCTAACTTCATCATTAGAGATATTTTAGAGATATTATTCAGCTGTCTTAGTACTTACCTAAATTTCGTCTGCCACTTGATCTTTACATTACTGCTGTTACTTGTTTTTTGGGGTGGGTTTAGATGAGAAAAAGAAGGAGAGGAAACGAGCCAGAGGCATCTCCCCAATTGTTTTTGACAGAAGTGGAAGTTCTGCATCAGAATCATATGCAGGTATTCTTTCCTTTTACTGTTTGTTGTCCTGATTTGCATCAAATTTTACTATGTAAACTAAAATTAATGTAACTGGCTGTAGAAATTTATGGGTTATGTAGCTTGATATATTTTGGTATTGACTTCTGGCATGTTGTGTGTGGATACCTTTGGGGGGGGAAGTAGGCTTTCTTATTACTTTTATGCTATTCTGTGGCTTAAGTGGAATTTTCACATTTTTTGTTTTAAACTTGGAAGATGATGATTCAGTGACTAGTTTTCTGAGTAGGAAACTGTTCAAATACTATTAAAAAAAAAAACTCAAACCAAACTACCCAAAATGAAAAATAAAGCAATACACTCGTGCACATTGAACAGTATTTTTTGTGTGTGTGGGTGCGCGCCAGAAAGCATAATTTGTCATGAATGAAAATTGTATGTGACAAGGCTGTAGAAATTGTATATTATCTCTATTAAGGCTCAGTCTGAACAAATGTGCTTTGGCTAAACACAGGTTCAGAAAAGAAGCATGAGAAATTATCATCTTCCGTTCGTGCTGTCCAAAAAGGTATCATTTAAATTTGAATTTTTAATGCATGCCCCATAACAAGCCATTGTCTCTGTTCATTACATTATGTCTAAGTAGTAATGTTCCGATATAGTTCAGCTTGAGCATGTTACTGTTATGAGTATAACATAACAATTTATGCATCTCACTCTTAAAACATGCAGAAAGTTCCACAGTGTTTTGCTCCTTGTCAAAGCAACAAAGCAAAAAAATAAGATGCTCGCACATAAAAAAAAGAAATGACTCAGAATATTGTATTGGACTCTTGTTTTTTAGAAATGTTTCCCAGTGCTTATCCAAAGATTCTTAAGGATACAATTCCTGTATATCGGAACATCACTGAATACACATATATATATATATATTTTTTCCCTCTTAAATACTGAGGTTTTAGTTTTGACTTGTTTTCCCTTACTGCTTTAAAGCTTGGCATTTTGTGCTCTACAAGTTAGATTTCAAGTTCTTGGGTGGTTGGCTGTCTTGCTATATAGGTAGGAACTGGGTGGGATATGGTATATTTTAAAGAAAATAACAATCTGCACTCACAGTGAAGTTTTAAAAAATGTAAATATTAACATTTTAGCTCATTAATCTCTTTATTTTTTTCTTTCCAGACCAAACAAGTAAACTTAAATATATTCTCCAAGATGCAAGGTTCTTTCTCATCAAGAGTAATAACCATGAAAATGTGTCACTTGCTAAAGCTAAGGTATGTTAAATTTTCTTCAAACTGCTTGCCTTTATTTTCAAGCAGAGCTGTTTGTGTACTGATGTATGCAGTCTTTTCTCCATCACTTAGATCTTGGCAGAGGCAACTATGAAATAATTTCTGCTCCTAATTCTTCAACACTGGCTACTTGACTTCCGTTATAATCTAGACCATCAGCCCTTTATCTTGGCAGGTCATGGTTAAAAAGAGAGTTTAAGCTGTGAGGGAGCTAAGACGAGTTTAATCTGCCACTGAAACTCTTGAGGGAACAGTTGGCCATGGGTAGCATCAGAGCTGATTCAAGTAACTTAATGCTATTTCAAAGTGATTTTTCTTTCTCTGCCTGTGGAATTTCTGAGGGGCTTATCTTGATGCTTGCTTCAGAATATGACTCATTTTTTTCATAAATCTCATCACATAAAGATGTATCCAGAAGCAGTTTCAAAATACAGTGAATGTATGCAATGTTGTTCTTGTTTTAGGCAAGAATGAGTTGTAATTTTTGAAGGGGGGAATATAATAGGCTAATAAAGAAACAATTTACGTGTTTATTCAGAAATTCTAAAATATGATTTTGTACCTTTTTTAAATAAAAGGTTTTACAACTTGTCACAAGTTACTGTGAGAAATCTACTACCAAAATGTGGCTTATGGCAAGCAGTAGTTTTGTAGACATTCAGCATATAAATTTACTTGTTCTGTTGAGTTGGGGGAACTTCGTGTTTCAGTGTCCTGGTTGTTTTGCTTTATATTTTGCACTTTAGTGTTAAATCTTGCTCCCTAGTCAGATGAATGCCATAACTGATAGAAGAAAAGGAGAGCATGGGAAGCAATGTGGGATCACCTCCACTTGGTGACGCTGAGTCATTGAATTGGCTCAAGTGTAGCAAATTGATTGACTTCTCATGAACTTTGCCTAGGCCACAGCATTGGTTAGATGCCTCTGGCAGGAGCACTACTCGGAAGGGTGGTGTATTTTCATGGTCACTGCTCCTCTAAGTAACAAAACCTGTGAGACCATATATGTATATATGCCTTATTGGAGCAGGGAGTTTGTTTCTTTGGACTTCTTTGGTTAAATTTCAGCAACTTGATATGAGAAGTGTTGTTCTGTCACTATCTCCTCTGTGGTGCCTGAGTTCACTCATCCTATGGAAGTCAACTCAAAAGGGTGCAGAATTATTTAACCTCAGTCATCTGTATCATATCATCAAAGGTAGGAAGGGTGCTGCATCCCCAACTGTTTGCTATGGATATACCAGCTGGAAGGCAGTTCTTAGTTACTTGGGCCATCTTCCCCCTGCCTCCTTCAAGGTCAATTAATAGCATCCTGAACAGATTTACCTTGGGTATGACATGGTTGTGTTTTTCTCCCTTTTGTTGGCACCTGTCTTCATCTCCCTGTGCTGCGAGCAGGTCCAAAAGGTAGATATGGCAAAGATCTAACATTGTAAAAATATTTATTTCAGTTTTTTCCAAAATCCAAGTCCTTACTGTGGAAGTGAGTACATGGCCCTACTAGTACAAGAGAATTACTTGAAAGGAATTTCAGTGCACTGGACTTCAGCTGCTGAGGAATCACCCTGGGCCCTTTCATTTTGTATTTGCATGCTGAGTGTTTGCAGAGTCTGTGGAGGAAAAAATAATATACTGTTACACAGTATACATGGAGCAGAAGATTCTGTTAAGGAAAGGATTTTAAAGTAGAGTAACAGTAAAATCCTTAAAGTGTAACTTCTAGTTCTCTGACTCGACTCCAGTGAATTGGGTTTTCAAAGGGTCGGGCAAGCACCATCCTGGCCACAGCTTGGAATGTGAAGGATTTCTTAAGGGAAGGGAGGTGGGGAAGTGTGGCCTTCTTTGGTAGCAGCTAGCTGCCAGGTCATGCTCTGAGGGTGAAGTTTAAACTCCTCCTCGTGGTTCACCTGGGGAAATGGACTGTGGAGCTGATGTTGCTGAAAAGTAGTGCCAACAAACTGGTTGTTCTGTAGCCAGATTGATACCTCCACCTCTGGTTAAATTTTGTTTTGTGCACAACTGTACAAATGTCTGTCAAAAGGGAAAAGGTGTGAACTGGCAAATGGAGTTGGAGAGGCTGGAAATTAAATTTCTTGGAGCTGTCTTGACAACTTAAAATGTTGCTCTGGTGTCGTTCATGCTTCTGTCCGTTCCCTGAAAGAGTTAGAAAGTTTGCAAGCCCTCTATTAACCTGTCATATTGGCAGGGTTGTTTACTGCCTGCCTGTCCTCTTGTACAGATGCATCTGTTTTGCAGCTTTGTGTTTGTTTTTGTGTAATGATCAACTCCCAAAGTCACGCAACATAAAAATACAAAAGGTCAAGGTTTTCCTATTTTTTTCTGTCATAATTACACTTAGATCACCTTAAGGTTTTATTTGTATCTGCAGTGTTCAGAAAGATCAAAAGCATTTTTTTTTTAAACTAATTGTATCATGGTCAGGCTAAGAATTGTTTTTTGAAAGAAACAAGTTTAGTAATACGTATCTCTGTTTCACTTACCTGTGGTGTTTTGTCTCAGAACACTCTTAATCTTGTTTTTTCCCGCTTGAAATCTTGTTAGTGAAATCCATTGGGATTAACTCCTGTGTTTTGCTGTGGGGTGGGCTGTTTTGTTTTAGGGAGTATGGTCGACACTTCCAGTCAATGAAAAGAAGCTTAATGCTGCATTTAGATCAGCGAGGAGTGTTATTTTGATATTTTCTGTAAGAGAGAGTGGCAAATTCCAAGGTAAGTGTGACTGAGCTTTTATCAGGGTAAGTGAAAATGATCTTTTATGTACAGTAGCTTTTCTGATGCAGCTTTGTTACAATTCATATGAAATCCTTTAGGATTTGCAAGGTTGTCTTCAGAGTCCCATCATGGAGGATCACCTATACATTGGGTGCTGCCTGCAGGAATGAATGCAAAAATGTTGGGAGGTGTCTTCAAAATTGATTGGATTTGCAGGTAAAGAATATTTAATCACTATTGCTATTTACTAATGAGGCAGTATAATCTATTTTCTATGTATTACTCTCCTTTCAAACTCAGCTGAACTAGAGAGCTGCCCATTGTTCTTCTCAGATCTCTACCCCCACGTTACTGAGTTTTGGGCTTAGTCCTTCCTATACATGTAGATGTGGTATAGTAAATGTTTTTTGTGTAGACAATTAAAGTCACTTAGATTTTCAGTATTTCACTCTTCCTTCACTGGCCTGCTGTATTGAAATGAGAAAACTATTCTGAACTCTGAGTAAAATCAGCTGCTTGCTTGGACAGGCGGTTGTGGAGAGCAACAAAGAATTTGAAGGGCAATTCTGTCTTTAGTCAGACCTCAGAATCTGGCTGAACAAGTAAAATGCTACTCTTCTAAAATAATTTATGAAATATTGTGAGTAGTTGTTTAAAAGAATGGATGTGAACAATAACAACATTGATTTAACTGAGTATATCTTAAGGTATTAAACCTTCATAAGAAAACAAGCTATGTCAATCCTCTGTATTCAGCATGTGGTTACCCAAGCTGACAAAAATCTAGGTTAGGAAGGACCTATGCAAGTTGCAGATTCCAGCTTATAGCTCAAAGCAGGGCTGGCTTCAGAAAAGTTAAATCAGGTTACACAGGGTCATACTTCAAGGATGTTGCAGCTATCGCCTCGTGGAAACTCGTGAGTATATTAAGATTTAGCATTGTGCAATAATGAGTAGGCACAATCTTGATACTGTGCAAAGTCTGTTTCCTCTAAGATAAGAGTTCATAGTATGGCCTTTGATAGTTAATATTGGAATTAGTCAAAATGCAATCTTCTCTTACTGATGTATAAGCTATTAATTTGGGGTGCTGTCAGTGCAAAGGCTATCAAGGTTATTCTGTGTGCAATATCCTGCTGTGTGCACTTTGTACAAAGAATGGCGACAAAACTGTAAATGATGCCACTTGCATATTTAGGCGTGAATTGCCCTTCACTAAATCTGCTCACCTGACCAATCCTTGGAATGAACATAAGCCAGTAAAGATTGGACGCGATGGACAGGTTTGTTCTTTTTTTCTTTTTTTCTCACTTGTAGTGTTTGTTTACAGCTTTGTGAATGGAGAAGATTGGGAATCTTTTAGAACAGTCCAATGACAAGGGCACTTTGTTAATATGGCGCCAGGTTTGTTGTCGTCTTTTCAGTGAATTTTATTTGATGCTGCAAAGTTGTATAATGTTTGAGTCCCAAGATATTATAATGTGACTACCACATCCAAATCACAGTATTGTTTTTTAAAAATTAATTTTGGTGTTCTCAACTGTCTTCTGTACTGTGGCTTTTAGTTTCTGTATTTTTTAGGGCATGGGATCTACTGTTGAAAGGAATACACCTATACATTTTAAGTGAGTTGGCTCTTTGTCTTGTCAGAAATGCCAGAGTACAATTACATTGCTGCTGTCATCTGAAGTAACCTAGTTTTGATTAAAATAACTTAATAGGCTCCACTTTCCTAAGGCAAAATGGGAGTTGCATAAAGCCCATAGTGTATGGAAAATGTAGAGCCATTGAGTTGTTTAACACATAGTCACTTGCACTGTGTTGGATAGCAGATGAATTTTCTCTCTCGTTCAAATTCAGTGTGATACAAAAAGGGATTTTGGCCAACTTAATTTCTGTCGAATGGTAGAGGAAAGATGTTTAAATGTTTTGTCCACCTAACTTGAGTTCCAGTGTGTTTGTTTTTTTCATAAAACTGTGGTCCTGTTGGGAACAGGGTAAGCATTGCATTGTGTGATGCTTGTTCTCTCAGCTTCCAGCTACTGAGTCCGGGTTATTTCTCAAAAGCAGTTGTGGTTTGCCCACTTACATTTCATGTAAATCCCAGTGGGCCTCTCTTCTGGGGACAGCTCATTCAGTCTCCCTGGAACTCATGGGAGCTTCTCCTTGTAAGATGTTTCTCAGACACCAAAAAAGCAACTCTTCGAATTGTTTTGCATCTGGCAATTACTGGCTTCCTTTTGTGACCCTTTTCTGCTCCGTACGCTGTGGACTCCTTTCTTTTCTAGGCTGAAGAGGTCCAGCCTGCTCAGTCATTCTTGTAGGAATTGTTCTAAATGCTTAGCTGGCCTTGCTGCCCACTCCCCTCTTTTTTTGAGAGAGAGAGAGAGAGAAGAAGGGGTTATAGCTGCACCTGGTAGTCAATGTGTGGGTGAAACGTGGACTTTCAAAGTGGTATATAGTGATTTGCTCATTCTGCTCTTCTCATAATCCAAATGTTTGATTTGCCTTTTTTGACTTCTGTCAAGCTTGGAGCTTGTGTTTTCATGGGTCTGTCATACTTGGAGTTGATTTCCGAGTGATAATGGTCATCTTCATCAGGCTATGGCATTATATATGAAGCTAGAACGGATTTTTCTCCCTGCATGTGTTGCTTTTCTCTCTGTAAGAAGTGATCATTTTCTTTGTGGTTAAAAACAGTCCTCTGATTTTATAGCAAAGCACTGATGTGGCCTGTATGTCTTATGGGAAGATATGATTGTCCCAAGTGTTGGATTATTTTATGAAAAATACTAAGTAGTCCATAAAGAGTGAAAGGTAACGTAAGTGTATTTTACTCTGTTTTTAGTGATGCTGAAAGCTCTTCAAAGTGTCCATTATACATATATGTGTATGTTGTCACAGTAATTGGGGAGACTTTTTGGTTTATAAACCACTACTGAACTTCTAACTAATTCTAGGAAATTGAGCCGGAATGTGGAACCCAGCTTTGTCTTCTGTTCCCTCCCGATGAAAGTATTGACTTGTATCAAGTCATTCATAAAATGAGGCACAAGAGAAGAATGCACTCACAGCCCCGATCAAGAGGACGCCCATCCCGTCGAGACCCCGTTCGGGACGTGGGAAGGTTAGAAACGTTCTTTGGACTGATAATAGGCACATATATCAGAATAACGTGATGGAGGAATGTGATTCGTCCAAGCTTTCCCTGCGATAAAGAAGAGAGAAAATCCTCAAATCAAGCTGCATGGACAAGTTTGTGGCTTCATTGAGGATTTCACATGATTCCCCGATCTGTCTTTTTCTTTCTTTTTCCTTTTTTTTCTTTTTTTTCTTTATTTTCAAGAGGAAAATGGAGATCTTTTCCTTTTGCAGAAAAGAAGCTGTTAAAGTGCTGTCTAGTTTAGACTAGATCCTTGATTGAGATAATGCAATGTGTAATGTTAGCTGTAGGTAAGCTTGGATTTATAATGAGCAGGTTAGATGAAGAGAAGGAAGTCTTTATATGCCAAAAATGTGTTAATATCTTGTAAAAGCCTTTTCTTTCAGGTGTGTCTCTGGATAAGCCTTATCAAATATGGGACTTTTATAAGGATCACTTAAAATTTTGCAGAAGATGCCGCCTCATTTTGAGGATAAAATATTTAAGTTATGTTGATATTCAAGAGGAGCATTATTGGGACTGTTTCAAATTGTGTCACCGTGATGTGTTAACCCCATTGCCAAATATTCTCTAACATGTAACCACTGAATTCACACATCTTGCTGAGCTTCTGCAAACAGTAGGCCCTTTCCAAAAGGGATCGAGTGGCCCTTGGAGACCCGGCAACAAACCAAAAAGAATGGCTGTTGCTGTGTCTGTATATACAACCTTTCCAGATGCTGGCAGTACCTGTGGACTTTTAAAGTATTTTTAGAGGATCGACATGGTTATTGATCACTGCTATATGAACTTAACTTCATTGTCCAGAAAAAAAGGGGTATAACTTGTTACAGAATTGGAGAAGTCTTTGCAAAGAACTGATATTAGCCCATCTGCCAAACACCTTTTCCCTGTGTAGCCACTTTGCATACAGACTGATGTATGGTTTGGGCTGAAACCTTTGGTTAAGTTTCCTCTTTGTGGAAACGTCCTGTGGTAGGTACAGATACCCAACAAGAGTTCCCCTTTCCTTGAGCTTAAAAAAAGGACACTGTAACGAGTAGGTAGGAGGAAACCTGGCAGCACCCCCTTATTTTTGGCTTTAAAGGACTGAACACCGAGATGGCTTTTGAAGTTAAGCTAAGAGGTTTCCAGTGCAATAAAGTATATACGAGTGAAGGTTTTGCAATGGACTGCAAACTATACATATAACACCACCACACCTTCTCAAGCCTGCCAGGGCCTCCATTTATGTGTGTGGCTTACAGCTAAAAGTCAGTAGTTGGACTACTATATGAACTGTTACTATCATATTTTATACCGGTCGTAAATGCACTCTCAAAACTACAAGAAAGCGGTATGTTCATTCTTTACACCAGCTTTTGTTTTTCTTGAACTGATTTTGCTGTAGATGCAACTGCTTTTTGCTCAGAGTAAAGAATCTTTAATTTGAAAAGCTTTAGTAACTGGGTATGGTGGGCTTTAAAAATGGAAGTGGGGAAGGGGGTGGAGAAATGGCTTTATAAAACTGAAAGCAAAGCTACATGAGCTTGTTAATCTTTGAGCAAGTTGTACAGCAATTAAGTGATTTATGAAAGTGTTGATTTTATGTTTTTGTCCTAAGGAATTATACTTGCTGATGGGGGGATAAAAGTGATTTTGTAGCTGAATGTTTAAAAATACTTTGTTAGCATTCGAGCTTCCCATTAATGTTTATGTGTCTTGATGGAGTGAGATTAGCAGCCAGCTGCTAGTTCTCCCTAAGACATAACAGCACCTGAAATGGAACTGTTTTAATAAGCAAACTTCTCTGAGAATGAGGTTTTTAAAGATACTGCCCACTCTGAAAGAGAGCTGATCTGCTATGAAAAGGAGCCCTAATTACTTTAAGAAGCCTAAGTGTTTCTACACTTTTTTTCGTAAAAAGCACTAATGCATTACTGATAATTTCCTTAAAATAGAAATCATGAGAAGTTAAGTTATTGTTCTACCAAGTTAGGCTGTAGTGATAGAAGCAAGTCTGCAAAGCATGCATGGTTTTATTTATAAGTGTTCCGAAAGTAGTTTATAGATATTTTTTTGCCACCAGCTAGCAAATTTAGCAATGTTCATGCCTGCTGACTATAATGTTACATTTTACAGTCTGTATTTAGTTCTGTATTTTTTTTGTCTAATAGATTGTCTCAAAATGTAATGCACAAAGAATGATGTTAAAGCATAAGTCCAAGTTTATTTTAGGCACTTTTTTTTTTTGGTATTAAGGTATGCTTGGGTAGATTTCCTTCTTAACTATAAAAGCATCTGTAGCAAGAAAGTAAGTTAAAGATACTTAATCTGACTATTGTTTCTGATTATTTGAGTTTAAATTTAAAAGCTGTAGAATGTTTTGAAACAGGTGAAGCTTTTAACGATTAAATGCAGATCCTGGGCAGCTCAAACTATTCCTGTTGAGATATTGTGCTGCGACGAATGCTTCAAGCAACTTTGTTTAATCTCTGATATCTAATTTGTGTAGGCGTCGACCAGAGGATTATGATATTCATAACAGCAGAAAGAAACCAAGGATTGACTATCCCCCTGAATTTCACCAAAGACCAGGTTAATATCTTACTATGAAGATTTATGTGCACCACTTCACAAGTGTTTGCTTTTTATCCAGCACGTACTGGTGAACGTAAAAAGTAAAATTTGAGAGAAGTTATGTAAGTTTTACAGCCATTCGCTACTATGGATCCCCTTGAGCACTTTGTTAATACAGGTAGTTAATGCCTGTGGTTGCTAGAATTGGCTTGATGTACTGTCAACACACTAATCTTCAAAGAGGAAATTTTTAATCAGAATTTCAGCTGTGATTAAATGTGGCTTGCTACACAGTTAGAGGTGATGGTAGACATTTGGTTGTGCCTTAAAAGTAGCTTTTAAGGGGTTGACATAAAGTAAGGGAGGAGGGAGTTCTCGTTGTACTTTTCAAGGAAGGTCTAATGATGAGTTTGGAAGAGGAGTTCTGTGATTTATTCCAGAAGTAAATCATTGTGACAGTAATGCAACAACCACAGGGGTAATATTGCAGGGTTGTGTTTTTTTTTTTTTTTAATCCTTTTTCCAAAAGCAAGAGATGAGAAGTGATTGGTCGTAATCCACTGAGTCTTACTTACTTCCATAGTAGATTTCTAATTCTTTCCTAAGATTTCACCATACCTGCCTCCTGCTTGACAGTGAGGCCTGTGTTCTCTGACACAAAAAGGATTTTGTTGCTGCTACATGGCAAGACCGCTGTTCAGAGGACAGGACACAATTTTAAAAATAACAAGTCAAGAGCATTGTTTTTTAGTGCCAGAGGCATGCTTAATATTTTTCATCATTTTGCTGAACTTTGAGGTTTATTTCCAACAATTTACTATGTTTTAAATAATTTGTTGGCCTGTGGGACCTTTTCACATGTGTTTTATGAACTGTTTGCTCTGTTTCTGTACTGTGTATAACAAAGAAAGCAATTGAGAAGGTTGGAAAGTTCTTTTGAAAATGAAGTTAGTGGCAGGTAGATAACACTTGGTGTCATGATGCAAAATGTAATACAGATTCTAATGAGTATTTTTACAAAGACTGTTTTCATGAGATAGAAAATTTGATGTTAATACTTTTTGGTGTTTGAACAGGGTATATAAAGGACCCCAGGTATCCCGAAGTAGACAGGTAAGGTGTGTTCATGCTATTTATTTTATGCACTGGTAGCTTGCTGTATGGATAACTTGGATTTAGTTCTGCAAATTTTTTATCCCCAACAGACGATTTTCAGGAGTTCGCCGAGATGTATTTTTAAATGGGGTAAGTTAGTGCATGCTGCCTTTAGGGACTTTTTCATATTCAATTTTCAGCACTTCCAAAGAACACTCCTCACGTAGATTAATATTACTGTCTTTCATTTCAGTCCTATAATGATTACGTGAGGGAATTCCACAACATGGGACCACCACCACCATGGCAAGGAATGGTTTGTGTCTTGTTAAACTCTTTTATTATTTTTTTTCTGTTTTTCTTTTTTTTCTCTTTTTTCACCCCAAATACAGTTTTTTGCATTCCTCTCTAGAAGTGCATATTATGTGTAATCTGCGCTCAGCCCTTTCCTTTCGCTGAAACGTGTTTGCTGTGATGTATGACAAATATGTAGGGAAGGAGAGACTACTTATATCTTACTTAAGGGTTGGTTTGTTTGGGAGATTTACTTCTTTAGGCTTTTTGCTTTACTTTTGCTTGCATTTGTCGCCTAGTTGTTTTCGCATGCAGAATGGCAGCTTGGTTTGAA